CTTTCTTTTTTTTTTTTTATGATGATTTGCAGTGCTGGGCACGCAGGGAGTTGGCGTGGGAGTCCGTCCAGCATGAAGATACCCTCCTGTTTCGTTAATAGCTAGTTTATCACCAGTTTTATAGTTTCGATCTTAAAAAATGCAGGCATGTTATAGCAGCAATCTCCATGAAACGCCCGCCCACCAGTCGCGACGGCGCCTGCGCCCATGTGCCAGCAGTGTTTCAAGCACCCTGAGAGCAAGTTGGGTCGAAGCTAGCTAGTTAGTTAGTTAGTTAGTTCAGCTAGCTGGGGCCTCGGGCAGCCTGCCACCGTCGCACTCGCCCAAAGCAACCTCAGCCGTGGCGAGCCTCAGCCACCGCCTGTGGCTGGGGCGGGAGTTACGCCCGCCAGCCAGCCCTACGCCCGAAGGATGGGGACTCGCGTCGCGTGAATAATAACTAGCCAGCTGGCTGTGACGGGCATAAAACACCCGCCAGCACGCACAGCACATGCCATATGCACATATACACACACCACCCCACGGCCAGACGGACCGGTTTCAAGCTGGGAAACTGAGTTGTCGTCGTCGTCGTCGTCGTTGTGCTGCCCGCTCTTCCGTTGGGCCAGGGCCTGGCGCCTCGCATGATCGGAAGCAAACGAACGAACGAACCCCCCAGCGAGGGTTGTGGCACCTGCAGGAACACGGCTGTCGGGGTCCTCCGACAGCAAGTTTAGTTGGTTTAGAGACAACGGGCGGTAATATAGCTCGAGCCAGTGTTATACTATGACCTTCCCAATCGAGTAACAAGGAAAGCTAAACAAGATTGCCACGAACCCATTCATCTCACCAAGCGCTTCTTATATATTAATTATTATTAACTAACCCGCCAAATAATACCGCCAATGTTTATTCTCCCCCCGCCTAGCCAGCGAACCAACTAGCGGTTTTCAACTGCCCATCCCAAACGCGCTGCTCATGTCTTCTGCGCATGTGCTTGTCACAAGCACCCCCGCGGCAGATGCTTCACGCCACCCCTCGCTGCATTGCAAAACGGCCCTCCATCAGACCCCTCACAGCTGGGGCAGCAAGCAAGAATCACGCTACACATTTCCACGGACTCCGCACAAAGCGAAAGTTCGTTCACTAAAAATCATAACTACTACTACCTAGCCGGCTGGCGTTCTGCGGCAACGGAAGCTCCCCCCCCGCTCGAGTTCTTTTTTGCCGTATTCGGCCAAGGCAAGGGCGAGGTCGATGGGCCAACCTTATTGCGCGTCGACTTACTCGCGTGCAACCGGGGGATTTGAGTTGGTTCAACTAACTTACTACTAGCTAAACCGCAAACCAAGCGACGGCCTTTTTTTTTTTTTGGTTTACACACCGTCTTCGGCCACTCTGCAGACATTCGACTAAAACTCGCTCCGTACCCCCGTAACTACCTAAGTACGCCTTGCTCTTGGAATACCTTTTGCCAACTCCGGTAACCACCACCACCACCACAGGGTCTGGATGCTGCAACCGGGACTGCCGGCTTTGACAGTGGAGCCTTCATGGTCTCTGGCGTTGTTGAAGACAGAGGCTGAGATCGGTATCAGCACGGGTTTCTGCTCGTCTTATTCGCTTTTGCACCGGGACTATCATTGACCTATCGGGGGGTTTTCCTACCATCTCCCGCCGGATGTCACCCTCGAGACCCAAACGTGTCCGCAAACAGACAGACGGTCTTCTGGCCTGGATGAGGTGCCGTCCATCCTGCTCTGTTCCCAAGGCTTTCCTAATCCAGAGTGATGGCCAGACCCACTGTACTTTTTTTTATGCCGATGCATAACTAGTTCCTGTCGGGCCCAGGCCCTCCTTGCCTTTGTTACTTATGGAAGAATTCCGGATCATGCCTAGTACCTGCATTGCCGGCAGCAAGATAGCCGGAAGTTTGACATGTTGATGAAGTGATTTTTCTTCAGTGAGAATTTGTCTGTTGCGCATATGGACTAGAACTCAATATTTGATTGTTCTTTCTTTGGCTGAAGCTTCTTAAGCATCCTGGTATTAGAAGAATTACAGGACCTTTTGACGGGTCAGTCAAAAGGGCTTGCTCTCAAACTACTCGAGGAGAAAAGTCATTAAGTTCACTTGTTCTGTGGAACAAGTCCCTGGAACCAGTCAACAGTTCTAAAGATACCTTTTAACAGACATACTTTGGCTTGTCAGTGAACATCAATGATTCAAAGTATTTCCACAAGGCATGGTGCCTCTTGAATATTATATTCATGATGTTGGTCCAATTTTTGCTAGTTATATGTGGGGCTATCTGGTTTTTTTTCCGGGGCAGCCTGAGGTCACGGCTCATATTCTTACAAAGATACTCGAGCATTGAAATGGCGTCACCACTGTTCTGGAGGCTCTAGCTTTGTCTAGACTCGTCATGGATAAACACGCTAGAAGTGAAAGCCTAGCTTCGATATGAAATATCTTCTCCTTTTCTCACTCTACTCCCCCCTTTGACTTATTTAAACGATACAAGGGGGGTTTTTGCCCACATGGATCAAAAGGCGTGCTGGCAGAAAGAATTTGGGAACAATAACTATTTGTTTGCTTGCTTTTCGATTTGAAAGACACTTTGTATCTAAGATTTGGCAACACATAACTATCCTTGAATGCACGTGGTTCATCTATTTGGTTCTAGTCTTCACTACTCCATACAGATAGCTCTTAACCCCCATCGATACGTCGTAAAGTTGGGGACTCTTCCCCCTCTCTAGCAGGGAGCGAGATAATGTTGCATCAGCAACTAGACTTTCGGCCCGAGCCGAAGCACCGACCCACTTCCGCAACGATTCTTTTTTTAAGAGTAAGAGATAATAAATGATTATTCTTCAATTTATTCGCTCTCGGCCTATTATTACTAATGATGTGGGATAGGACGCCGATGCAAGATTCAGCGGCATGATGTTGAAACCAGCCCGATACCCCCGACACCTCACTGCGACGTCGAGTCATGATCAGGAGGATATTTATAGTATTTTAGAGTGTGTTTACGAGTCAGCTGGCAGTTCACTGGTCAGGCTGGTCTTACTCGCGCCCGTTTCGAAGTGAGCTGGAGTTAAGTATGCTAGATCGTCACTCACTCACTGGCTTTGCAGTTCGCAAGCTGGCCAGCATTTCCAAATAGCGGCTTGAAGCGGACGCCGAATCATGTCAATGCCAGGGAATTCATGGGCTCTCAGTCGCGCGGTAATCTGAGGGCTCTTCAAGTTGCTAGTCAGTCACTTTTCCAGAACTACTAGCTCATAGAGCACACCAAGAGCGAATACATCTTCTGCAGGCCGACCGGCACGAGTCCGACAGGTAGGGTGTCTGGACGTGCATAGCGCGATGCTGCCGCGACGATTGCCGAAAGGCCTTCTATCCCAGAGCCGGCAAAGTCGCATAAAATCAGCTTGTCCGTCTGAGAATCTTGTGAAGACCCAAGCCTGCATGGACAACCCCACGAGAATGTATGTATGCCAGGGCCGATGCAACCTGGCAAGGCCACCTAGAATTAAGATAGACAGTCAGATCCATTTTAATACTAAATTCATAAAAGAAAAAAAAAAAAAACTCTCCACCTACGCCTGTCTTGCCCCTTTTGGAACCCGGATAGTATCTAGTTCGTCAAGGGAGCCTGCTAGAGTTCCACACCAGTGATATTCGAGCAACAGCCCGCCACGGACAGCGTCAACCCCGGGAGGATCAGGAGAGACCCACCCGAAATATCCGAGAGCAATTGGGATGCCGATCTCCATCTTTCTGTAGAAGTTCATATATTTTTCGCTTCGTGTGCTGATCGGTATCTAGCCGAGGGAAGGTTTTTGGCCACGATATTTGTGCCTTTTATATGGACGACTATCCCGGATACAACTACCCATGCCGACACAATATCTTTGTGAGAGTCCAAGTCAAATGGAAGTTCGTTCATCATCGCGAACCGCCAACACCCCCACCGAATTGATTATCAGGCGACGAGGCTATCAATTCGGAGAGATCTCATTTTGAGTTCTGGAGATCCTGGAAGAAGGCCACCAGGGCACTCCGTAGTTAAAATGTTCACATATGATTTCCTGCAGCGACATTTCCTACGCCGGGATGCAGGTATGGCCCAAATTTTGTTGACTTGCCGGTGCCAAGAATCGCACATCTGCAAGGCTTGACTCCGCCTCCCTTTTTCAGCGTCTTAACTCCGTATTATTTTCTCTTTTGGGCTTGAAGAACAGGAAATATCGGAGTATGCTATAAATATCCAGATATTTGACTGAGGCTCAAGTACTCTGTATAGTAAAAAATTATTTTCCTGGACACGTGAGTTTAACTAGCTACACCCCTTGTGGTGGAGACCCGCCCCGAAACAGAAACACGGGACTTTCGAGCCGGGCACAGAAATGTTTCACTCTCCCCCCAAGCCCACTTCGATCGCGATAGCTCAATCCTCTTAGAAACGGGCGGGGGGTTCTCCATCGCAGAAAAGCTGGGCGGCAGGACGACCATGGTTTCTAAAATGCTACGCCCGGCCCGCCTTGTTCTAGGAAAGGAACACTAAGATACCCGTTTTATACCTCCTGAAAATCGGTGGATGCTACTGTGGCCAGAGAGAGTGCGCTTCTCTGCGGGAGTACCTATCTGCTACCCTGGACCGCTCTGAAGCGATGTCACGATTCAGTCTGCAGGACAGAAAACTGCAGGCCTGGTCTCGGCGGCGTTGGGCATCGATTGGCGGGGACAAAGCCACTCTGAAATTCAGGGACACCAAGAAGACACGATAAATGTTCGATTTGGGACTTTTGCATGGTGGTATGACACTTATAGTCAAACTTAGACGTCGAATAAAAATCAACAGGCATAATACTGGAGAGAAAGAGAGGGAAGAAGAAAAAAAGAAAGAAAAGCAAGTGGTATCAAGAATCCTGGTTCAAATCCGTCCGGCCCGCGTGTACCCTTAATCATGTCACCTGGCCTGTCCAGACTTACCTACCAACAGCAAGGAATTACAAATGGGCTTCCCGGATCAATCTTGGGAGTTCGCCAGCTAGAATGTACCGTCAGCACAGTCGTGGGATATAATTGTCCCATAAGCGAGGGGCAATGGGGCTTCAAGCCAACTTACCATCGCCTCTATGCGCCTCTCCATTTGCTCGGCCCGTTCTCATCCCCGATGATGAACCATTGACCACCAATGGCTCACTGCTCCTCGTTCCCGGACTCAACTCTTCGTCACTTGGAGACACCAGCTCGACAGCGGCGGTATCAATGCTGTCAGGACTGGACACCAGTTCCGGGGTTTGAGATTGTCGAGGGACCCTGGTGTCGTCCACGGGAGCGGCCTGCCTGCTCTGGCTGCTATAAGACCCACTACGCTCTCTGTTAAAACGCACTTTTATTCTTGAGCCCATGAAGACTGAGCTGTCAAACATGGATATCGCCCCCCTTGCTTCATCTTCACTTCGGAAGCTGACCGTCGCACAGAATTTTGCGCGTCCGAACGATCGCTGATCCAGGACCTCGCATGCGTCCACGACGCCCGCAATTTGGAAATAATCCTTCAGCTGTTGAGAAGTGGTGCCGGGGCTGAGGTTCTGTATGAAAAGATGCCTTGAGTGAGGAGCTATGACCTCCGCATTCGAGCCAATACTGTAGTTGCTATTTGTTGAAATGCTGCTACGCTTACTCTGTGGAAATGGATGCATAGGCCTTGGTGGCGGGTAATGATGCAGCGGTGCCATGGTGTGGGGAGTAAAACTCGGATGGTAGAAGTGGGGAAAGAGGATAGTGTTGTCGTTTGGTACCATCATCGGTATTTGATACGCTAAAGCGTCAGCGTGGAGAGGAACGAGGTGCGGGTGACCAAGGTGAGAAGCGAATGGGTGGTATTCTGGCGGCTGTGGGTATACCGGCGAAAGTGAGACGCTTTGAGCCACGCTGTTAGCAGACTCATCCTTCACTCGTGTCCTCTAAAATGTCGAAAGCTTACTCATGGCCGATGGAACATGTTGGCGATGTCATAACAGGGGGGGCGAGATTCGCAGGCATAAACGGCATTCGCTGTAAAGGCGGGCTTCTAGTAGGCCCAGCAATCGGCGTCGTTGGTGCATTTGCCAGAGCCAAAGTAATCGTCAAGCTGTGACCATTCCATCCGTTGGTGGATAAGCGATCTAGGTAATATTCTATTAGTTACCGAATAACACCCAATGCTGAAAGTAAAAACCAACCGTATGTTCTCCAAGCTTCATCATGGTTTTTGATGATTATCTGGCCTAGGCCTGTTGGGTTTCCATGGGGGTCATCATAAACCACTGATTGTCGAATGTGTAAGGCCGTTTGGCGAACCAGGTCCTTCAGTTCTTGCCACCGACATTGAGGCGGAATCTGCCCTCACACGCACGCGTGAGAAGAACGCCCTAGGTTGCAAGGACAAAGGAAGATGAAAGCTTACTCCTTGGAAGAAGACCACATATTCTTCCTCATGAGACCGGCTCCTCTGGCGCCCGTTCCTGTATTGCGCAGCCTGAGGCATTACCGCAGAAGACGCCGCTATCGTCGTTCGCCGAACAAACAAAGAAACAAGTTGTTTTTTGAATGAAAATAGCTAGCGCTGATGTTTTGGTGGCTGGGTTTGCTATCGCGGCTTACGATTATACGGTGCTGAGCGTGGTGTAAAACCAAGCCTTTCCCAGGATCCCTCCCGTTGTGATCTCCAGCAGATCTGGAAGATTATAGATCTGTGGGTATGGAAGATTCAACACAGTTTCGAGTGATTTGCGAATCGGGGCGCGTGTGGCTGCCTTGTTGCCGAAGAAATGACTTGGTGATGTGACTGGATCGGACAGAGGATCTTCCTAGGCTGATTAGAACCTTTGGTCACAAGCAAGAAAGCTTCAGAAAAACAAGCAATAGTGACTGAAACGAGGCTTTTGTGGGGGGTGATGTTTGGAAAGGGGATGTAAAGTTAAGGTATTAATATTAGGCATTTGACCCCGATGATGGGGCCGCGTGAGGCGATTTGAGGGAGACCAAGAAGCTTAAAAAGAATCCAAGAAGGCTGGGGTGAGGAGATTCCTGCATCATGGCTTACCGTAAAGAAGGCGGGAGGCGGCCTCTATATCTGTGTATCCCACCAATTAAGCCAGCATCAAGCTATTGGGTGGGAGTGGCGGAACCGGGGGAGGCAAAGCCACCGGTGCGTCTACCATCGAATTATGGACCAGACGATTTACAAGATAAGACAACTTGACGTCTCGTTTTTTCGACATGCCTCTCACTCGGCGCGGTTGGTTGTGTCAGCGAGCGGACGAGGCTCGGATTTGGACCAGGTCTTGACAGCACAACCTAGATTCCGGACCGATGCGCAGCTTCTGGCAATCATAAGAACCAGGGCCACTATGTATATGTATGTGTCGGATTCCCGCTTCCGCCGTGTATGTACGAAGTACGGAGTATATGGAGAGGAGCCGGGTGATTCGTTGGATCGGGGGGAGCTTCAGGGCTGGAAACGAGCCGAAGCCTACTAGCTAGCATTGTTTACATGCTTCAACGGTGAGCTGCGTTAAGAGGCGCCACTAGTGCTAGCGGGAACTACTCATAAGCTGCGTGTGGTTTGTTATACGTCATATTCCTGGAGCCTTGTCTTTTGGAATGAGAGAGGGAATGGGGGAAGAACGGGTCTTTTTGGCCCATGTCAGCACCCGTATTCTAGGGCCATCATCAGATAACCTGCAGACTAGGGAACAATCGACCTGCATTCTCTCATATCGATTCAGTCGAGAAGCGCTTATCTTCATGCTAGTATTGCCGGGTTTAGTGTAGCGGGCCAAAGTAGCCGATCACGCCTTACCCGAATCCCTTGTAGTGAAGAGGCGATGTGAACGATCAAACTCTATTGTTTTGCTTTTGCTTCATATATGCTTTGGAGACTTCTGGTAGAATACGGAGTAACGCTGGCAGGAATACGATGATATTCACCTAAGTGGTTCGCTCTCCCGACAATGGGTTTGTCGTGGGACAAGAAGCTCTCATTCGTCTCCGTCTAGCTAGGGACTCATGAAGGCGGCGTTAACCAACGGAACGGACTATGAAGGCCGCAACGAGTCACTTCCCCGCATCCATGGTCAGGTTGGGAAGTTGGCCTGCGTTCGTGACGGGCATTCTGTTCATTGGATCTCAATCCGTCCTCAAAGGGCCAACCCCAGCTGGTAAGGTGACAGATCTCTCCAGGCCAGATTCTGATCGAAGGATCCTCCGTCCCGGGCGATCGCCGTGGAGTCCTTCATCCGCAGCCCACGAAGGCTGGCTGTCAATTCTGCAGCGGGTTTCCGGGGCTTCGTAATAAAACCACCCAATAATAAAGGTGCGACCGCCGGGGGGTTTCGTGGTTTGAGGCAAGCCAGCTGTGGGTGCCAGTTTGCGAGGCAATCCCAGCTCCAGCAAATGGAGTTTCGTAGCACTCGGCATTCACCGTCGCACAAACAAGTCTCGTCTCAAGTGACATCCGCGGCGGCATATGATACAGGCAAAGCTGACGGCCACGAGCTCAAGCTGCTGAGCCAAGGGAGCACTGGTGGTGCTGCGGCAGCCGGTCATCACGCCGTGCATGCGTCCTGGCTGCGCCGCGAAGAGAAGTGACGGCCTCGTATTGGCGTCCCCGGGGCATTGGAAAGCCGAGCAGAATCTGCACGGCTTGAATAATAAATAGTCGCATCATTCAAGCAATAGTCGGCGAAGATCCTCCGAGATTGAGTGCCGGGATCGACAGTGGCTGCAGACAAGGCCCGGGACGTGGGCGTCACGCTGATTGGCACAGGATGCGGTGCAATGGACGTGGTGATGGTCCAAGAAGAGGCCAGTAAGAGCGCCATGCCCCCATACAGACCCGTCACGACGCGAGGGAGTGCGGTGGACGAAGCAGCGGCGCTGGTCGTGGTGGCACAGGTGCAGCGAGGACAGCCAGTCGAGGGCTCGCCAGGAACCAAGAAGGCGCCGGATTGCGAATCGAGCGGAGCTTCTTCAACGCACCTCCAGGCAAATGAACCAGCTGCGCTGGGCGGCCTCCATGCGCAACACAGACGCCTCAGGAAATCACCGTGCCAGAGCCGAGGACGTCCACAGCCTGCAGTCATCCCCATGCGGGCATCTCACAGACCGTTGTGCCGACCAGCGTGTCCAGCGCCCCCTTGAGCGCACGGGCTGAACAGGACGGCCGCCGGCGAACACCTCGCACAGAGGCATCGAGGCCTGCGGATAGCGACAGTGCGATCTCAGCAGGTGGCCATCCGCTGCCTTTCCTACGGGGACAAGGCTCGATGCAAGTCGCGTTGCTGCTGCTAGACACCCGATGGAGTGTATTACGTGTGATGGAAATATTTTCTAGAAAAAGGGAGAAATAGCCTAGTCATCCAGTCTGGGTGACACCTCGTTGGGGCGTTTGTCGGACAAGGCAGTAGGCAGCCTCTATAATGGCCAGCAGCGAAGGTTGGTTGCAGTATCATGCGATATTATCTGCAGCATTCCAATAAAAAGCTGCCGGGCGCCAGCCAGCACAATGTAATATACCACATGATCCATAGAGCAACGGTATCTTTAACAATCTAACTGGCTAGTGTATGATATGTTACAGCAGGGGGATAAAGAAAAAGGATAAATCGAGAGGCAGGGATCACAGGAAGTCAGCAGCTCGAACGCGTGCAGCAGGACGGGATGGTAAAGGAGATCGAGACCGAGATCGAGATGCAGGTCGTCGCCGGCCAGGACTCGAGTGTCGGTAAGAGTGTGGTGGGGGGGTCATTGAGCGGGAAGGTGAGCGAGAGGCTGAATAGGAGGCCCTCGTTGAGCGTCGAGGTCTCGAAGGCGGAGATGGTGAGCGTGGGGGCGATATAGACCTAGCTCTTGCATCCCGGTGCTTTCTATCCCGACTATAACGAGCCACAGACGTTGGGCGGGGCGATGATCGTGGCCTACGGTCTGAGCCCCGTCGGCGAGACGGAGATCGCGAGTAGCTGTCTCTTCGAACGGGGCTGCGTCGACGGTAAGGAGATCGCGACCTTGATAAGCTAGGGCGCCGCCTGGACGCTGGTGGAGGGGAGTGGCTCGAAACGCGTCGGCGCGGTGGAGCTGGGGAGCGAGTCGGAGAGCGCCTGGCGTCCCGTCGCGGGGCCAGGGATCTTTTGGGCGCAGGAGATCTGCTGAGGGCATTTCTGCGCGCCATGGAGGATGAAACCGATCGACTTCTTCGATTCACGGGGGACCGAGATCGAGAATATGACAACGGTCGACCACGACGGCGTGATGGCGGTGAACGAGAGCGAGATGTACTGTAGCTTGGGCTTCGGGATGCTGAGGAGCGAGATCGACGTCGTCCGCGAGATACGTCGCCTTCACGTCGTGGAGAAGGAGACCGCGAGTATGACCGGGGACGTGAAGAAGCGGTATACGACGAGTAGCTTGAGTATGAACTAACGGACTCCGAATCTGACTGGTTATTTGGGGCAGGCAATGCTGGGATCACTGGTCGAGGAAGATTGTTGAGATGCTCGCGCATTTCCTCGGTAAGAGCACCCATTCCAATGCTTGTGAAATAGTTGATAGAGAATCTGGTGTTGCGAGGGTTATCCAGCGGGAAGATACCTTCAAAGCTTGGGCGGAGGATCTCATCCTTGAATCGTTCTTGGAGCTTCGGCATTCCTAGGCCTTCAGCGAGGTCCTGGAATAAAATTTTAATAAAAATACGGCTGCTAGAAGTTGTCTCTTCTTCATTTAGATGGATTATAGACAAGACGTGCCATCCAAAGGCATCTGAACTGAGCATATGTCCAAAAAACCTGGCAATGTTTCTCAAGCGATTCGTTTCGTAGCGATGGATCGTATCGTAGTATTTCATAAAAGAAGCTTCGAAGAGATCAGTCCACATGCGATTGAGCTTTGCAAAACGTTCCCCAGTAAGCCCGTAGAATTTCGAATACGTCCGCTCTTGGGAGCAGCATTCGACGATCATAGAAGGAAGTTCGGACTCTTGTCCAACAGGCAGATTGATTTTCATGAGTTTATGACAACATTCCTCAAAGTCAATGCTGGACATGATGGTGAGGTAGATAGTTCGTCGCAGGTTAACTAAGTCGGTGTTGCTTTGGTCTTTAATATCCATCTGGCGGTCTTCCTCATCTTCTTCGTCCTCATCTGAAGTCACATCAGAGTCATCTTCATCCTCGCCGTCACTTCCTTCACCCAAAATTTCAGCTTTCAGTTTCTTGTATGCCTCCTCGTGTTCTTCCCACTCTGCATCAAACTTAAAAACGTTGAGGCCGTCTTGGACGTCGAGCTCGTCGTCAAGTTCGATGCGATGCGTAATTTGGTCCTCTTCTTCCACAAGATCAAGCTCCTCTTTAATGGCAGGATTATCCTTAAATCGATCTTTTCGTACTTGAAACAACACTTCGATCATATACTGCACGCGCTTGTCGATGTCCGCCTCGTGCAAGATAGCCCTGAACTGGTCGAACACAGCTAGTGAGATAGTCTGGTTCATTTCTTCTAAATGTTGCCCAATCTCTCTTGTAAGGCCCACAGCCACCTCCACACTATCATCTGTGGGTTTGTGGAGTAAGAGAAACAGGATCTCGGCTGCAACCATTTCGTGAGCAACTTGTTGGTTGCATAGATGAGCAATGAATGTTGAAGACGATATACACACTGTTTTGTCGTTTCTCTTAAATGCTTTACGGAACTGAATAATAAGCCGACTCAGTAGAAGTTCCCCCACCTGTGGCAGTTTAGTGTTGACAATCGCAGCCATAGCAGCATATATTGGTGTAAATGGTAAACTAGCCGCTTGAGCTTTCATGATACTACGGCAAAAAAGGCCTCTTCCACGAATCAAATTTTCCCCGAAAAGCTCTGGAACAATGTGTTTGATGTTGGAAATGTTGATTTTGTTGATCAGTCCATTGATGGACTTTTTGAGGGCTTCCCAGGCCATCCGCTGGTATTCTTTACTCGACTTGTCCGTGATCTGAGCTTGTAAAGCGCGAAGCCGCGCAGGGGGAATATATGTGCCTCCAGAGCGCATTGTTAGAAGCTTCTCGTACTCCGCCTTTGCAGCAGCTTGCTTCTCTTCCTCCGTGAGTGGTTTTGAAGGGCCGTCGGCTTTTTTGAACTGGCGAAACCTCTCGGCTAGTTGTCGGTCCCGCTCAGTCTCTCGGTCGATGTCAATATCTGGATGGTCACGCGAAGCATCAGGAGGAGCAGGTCGTCGGCGGTCTGGTGAAGGCGAACGTGAAGAAGGCGATCTTTTTCGCGACAGCGGGATTTCGGGCGCGTAAGACATGCCAGGTGGCGGCGTTGGCAGCCGTACAGCAGATTGCAGCATTATTGAATCTGCCATGTTTGTGAGTGACTGGAAAGAATGAGACACAACCCAAGGCACAGGGCATGGATGGGACTGAGAAACAGAGCTCCAGATCTGTTTAGGGAAGTTTTGAGATGTTAATCGATCACGTGACTAGGCACTTTGGCAAGCCGTGGCACGAATGGTATAAGGGGACACAATAGAGAATGTTTCCCAGGTTTGAATGGAGGAGGCCATTTCCACATAGGAACCGACTTAATTAGCTGTGTTTCGATTTCTGAAGCCTACAGGAGCTTCCTTCCTCACTTTAAAGCAATGGTGAGCTTTCGCGCACTTGTGAACACCGAAACTTTGAAAACTAACCGCGATGATAAACAGCTCGGCCAACTCTTCGGTTTAGCCATGCTGCTCGTGGCGACTGCAGTCTTTCTCTATTATAGTGCCTGGACTCTACTTATGGTAACTGTGCACTCTAATGATCAAGCTTGATCCGTAATTTCCGACCTAACGAACTCCTCCAGCCATTTGTTGACCCCGGCCACCCTCTCCACGACCTTTTTCCTCCGCGAGTTTGGGCAATTCGTATACCTGTCATTTTGACTCTTCTCGGCTCAGCCGTTGTTGGGACATTCCTCGCCCTTGTTATGATTCGCAGCAATCGGAAGAAGGCCGCGAAGGCCAAAGCCGCTGCCAAAACAGCGTCCAAGAAGAAAGCATGAACAATTCTCCTTGAGGTGGACGTATCGGAGTTTGATCCCGGCATCGCGTGCCAGGCGCCGGTTTCTAGACATAGCGATTGATTCGAACGGCTAGAACCCATCTCTTATAGACATTGGCAACTTGACGTGTACATTATACTGGGACCAGGCATTGGGACAGCCTTTGAATTACGGCGTTTGGATGCTTCCTTGTTAGGTTTCAGCAAAGACCTTTTAAGAGACCATATCTCATTTGTGTTATTTGAATGAGCTGTGAATGAAGTTATCCATGATGTATTGTTGCAAGGACCACCAACCACTGCTGCTTGCACTTGGGCAGTTTTAAACGCATGTGCCAAAGCTCATACTGTCTCCATTCATTGAAAGTGCAACCCTGGCCACCAAAATACACCTCATGGCTGAGGAAAAGGTTAAGTTGAGTGGATGTGGATTTGATATCTACACTATAATACAGAAATGCATCAGAAATGCCCTCCCTGTTCTTCAAGGAGACTTGCTCATATAGCAACCCTATATGCTAGTGGCGAGATGCCAACCATGCTCACGATGAACATCTGTTATGAAGCGGATACCAGCGTCAAAGGCAGAAATGCGAGTCTGTTCATCAATAGCCATAGATGGGACTATTCCAGCCAAACATCAGTCTTAAGAAGCTAGGTTTTAGGGTCGGGTTCTGGGCTGTTACATACGTTCTAACCAACCATGCAGTTGATTCTCAAACAATATGCTTTCTACATGGTAACGAGGTGGTCTTAAACCGAAATTTGTCATCAGTCTTTCACGAGGGTGACACTCGGGGGCTGATTTCACCCCAGATGCAATTCCAGTATCAACCTGTTCGGTTGGACGTGAGTTTAATTGCTCAGCTTCCCTCTTCAAGCGATTCACCATTACAGTCTGCTCTTGTACCAGAATATCTAATGTTGGGATGATGAACAGCATCTTTGGGGGCAGATCGAGGATGTCCGCCAGGATTGGGTTCAAAAGCGGGTTGTGAAGTTCCTGTGGCCGGGCCGAAGCCACGTATGCATCAAATAGAGGCATAGCGAACGAAAACGGGTCCTTTGTTGGAAAGCCTTCTGGTTTAGGCTTTAACCATGGTGGGACTCGCAAATCTACCTACTTTCCAGCAAGAAACAGTTAACCATAGCCGCATAAGACGTATGTCGTAAGATGCTCTGTTGCCACATCTCTGAAATGCTCGTACCAGAGTAATTTCAACACAAGGGAAGTAAACTTGGGCAACCAACTGGATTATAAAAAGTCACAGCGCCTTTTATATAGTGCTTAGTCCTGGCTAAGCTCTGCGCGACGCCGAGAGCAAGATTACCACCCGCCGAAGCACCGCTGATAGTTATGAGTTCTGGATTTGCACCCCATAACCGATCACAATTTTCAACCAAATAAGATGCAACATCTTGAACATCTTGGTGGGCGCAGGGGAAGACAAAGCGTGGTGCATATCTGTAGGATGTGGATACTACAATAGCACCAGTACGCTTTGCAATTTCCATGCAGAAGGGAGCATCATATTCAGGAATACCCCCCAGAAACGCCCCACCATGGATATCCAAATGAAGTGGTCTGCTAGAATTTTGCTTCCATTTATCAGATTTGACATTGAACACGATAGCACGCACAAAGTGGCCAGGAGCTCGCCGCAGTGGGATCCATATGACAGTTTTGTGTCTTGAAAATGCATATGGGATCCATTTCAGGAAATAGGATAATAAAGTGAATGGTTGCAGAACGATGAGCCTCCAACGATAAGAGAAGGGGATTGAAGGGCAAAAGAGAGCATCATAAAACAGACCAAAGCAGTGACGAAAGCTCATTTTAGGTCAGCTTAAGCAAGAGTGAGAATAAGTCATGACTGTTGAAGGCATAGGGTGTTATCAGGTTGCAAGGCAGTAACGTCAGATACGAGAAAATAGGCTACTATTGGACGACACAGGAGCACGTGATGATCATGTGACTGAGCATCTATATTGTTGCGTCTGGTCTGCTCCTAATGAATGAGACAAGGATACTTATAGACAAACATGCTATAATCAAGGCTATGGGAAAAACATATGAAAAACCCCTAGCAAACCTCCACCAGCCTGATAGATAAAGATAATGAAATTGGTACTGTAATTGAGAAGAGATGATAATAAATCTATAATTCTCTGATTTCTTCTTTGAAGATCTGATCATCTGATAAATTATCTGACTTTTGCTCAACACATCTCTGTAGCTTTGGCAGCAGCATAGGTGGTGAACTCTCTATTAAATAATCAATATTCATGAGTCTCAATTGCTTAATGAATTTTTCAAATTTCTGTCTAGGCAAGATCTTTGTTAAGTCATCTGCAGGCATATTATTGCTTTCAATTCAGCTAATATTTAATTTCTTATTAGTAACTGCTTGTCATAATCAGTGATGATGAATATCAATGTGATGAAGCTTGATAATTAGTTGTGAAGCTGCTGAAATCAGTAAATGAATCATCTGTAAATTATCACATAAAATATTAAAATCTCTTTCTAATTTCAGTGTAATATTCTTAAATAAGCATTTCCACCACATAGTCTCTTTTGCTGTATAGAATAGTGCTAGAAGCTTGACTTCTGTTGAAGATGTTGTAATGATCTTTTATCTAAAGAATTTTCAATCAATTAAATCTTTAAAGAGCTTGAATATGAAGTTCTGAGAGAAGTGTCTAGAGTTTAAATTATTTGCAAAAGAAGAATCACTGATAATTATTAAATGAATGTTAATGATGTTGTTATTATCACTCTGGATATTCAACTTTCTCTTGACATGAAATTCAAGAGCATAATACTTTATTGAAAAAGCATATGAGATAACTCTCTCAATTGCTGTATGATGTTCTGATTCTGAATTAATCAAAGCCTCACTTAATTTTGCAGTAGCAAATGAAATATCAAACTGTGTTATAATAGCAGTATAGAGAGTCAAATCAATCTTCTGTTGATAGACATGTATTCATTGTGCATTCTGTGCCTCTGTATAAGAAGCTATATCTGCAGTTATCATTGATATATGTGACAGCTTCAATTCAGTAAGATTAAATTTATTAGCAATCTTTTCAATATAACTGTTCTGGCACAGTCAAAGCTTCTGAGCATTTCTATCACATATGACATAAATATCTAGAAATCACTCTAGCTCTTCAATTTCTTAAAGTTTGTAATGCATTCATAGTTTCTTCAATAACTGCTTAAATGTTCCAACATTCTTTCTGTGATATAAAAATACTATGTCATTCACATAAAAGAAGATAATAATATTCTTATCAATGAATAGACATAATTCTTTACAAATCTGATGAAATTTTAGTTCTCAGAGTGTTGAAGCAAGATCTTCATATCAAAGTCATGAAGATTTGAAGTAACTATATAAGACTCATAGAACTCTTCAAACATCTCTTTTCTTACTGTAACTTTCTGCAGATCTGCAATAAACAGATTTATTAAATGAAGCATTAATGAATGCATTAACAGTGTCAATCTGAAAGATCTCCATTTCAAAATAAGCTGTTATAGTCATTAAAAAATGAAATGTTCATGCAGTGAGAGTAGTGATGTAGATGTCATGTTTATTATTGATATTCAGATCTCTGTGAAAAATGAGTCTTGTCTTATAATGTTCCAAAAAACCATTAACATCAAATTTGTAAGTATAAATTCATATTAAAGAGATTGAACATATTTCTTTCAAGCTCTCTACTTCTTTAAAGCATTTCTTCATTTATAGCTTTTCCATTTTCACATTCATGATGACTTTAAACTCATCAGTGTGTGAATGTTGCAACATTGAAAAATAATGCTTTGAAGACTTTGAAAGATTCTTTCTGTGAAGTCTAGAATTTGTAATTGTAAAAGCTGTTAAATAGTCTCTATAAAATGAATTCAATTGCACTGTTTGCTGCAGAATTGCTGTATAAGCTATTTGTCTGTCAATTCAATCTGTGTTTTGACATCTTATTCTAGCACTTTGTCTAGAAGATTGCTTCATGCTCAAGCTTGCACTGACTGAGTCATTCACTGCTTGTTACCTGGTCTAACTGAGCTACAGAATGTCCGTGTGATTTTGATTGTGTAGTAGAAGATGATTCTCCTATTTTCTTCCAGCTTTGTGAGTAAGCTCAAAGGGCTGACTAAGTAGCTAACTATTCTGGTATTATGTACAGTAATGATTCCATGTCAGTTGTCAGGGAATATCTTTTAAAATCAGTGCCCTCACTGAAAGTATGAGTACTGCACATATCAGTATATTAGGTTAGAACTGATAATCATAGTAGGGGAAGTTGAAGAAGAAGGACATCTTCTCAATGACTGTTTTGTTGATCAATTTAGTATGCATCATTGGGTAAAGGAATTTCTTTCAAGTCAGGGTAGACATAATCAGTCACATTAGTGTATATATTTTAATTTGACATTGGGGATATCATCCTCCATCTAATGCAAAGTTCTCTCACAGTTGTAGAGTGTCATTTAAATTCTGTTCTAGCATGCCAGTGTCATCAATTTAAGTTAGATGTGGATAATCTTCAGCTGTTGCTTCTAGTGTGTGCAGGCAAGCTGAATGGGCTTTTCATTGATGGTTAGAAAGATGTAGTACTTTGCATTTTGTGAAGTCATTTAGAATGAATCAATGTTTCCTGTAAGCTTCTCTTTTTTTGTCTGTTGATAGATTAAGCCATGCTTGAATTTCTTCTGTTGTTATAACATCATCTTCATTTAGAGCCAATCAGGTTTCTGTAGTTATTGTTGTAGATGGTTGCATTTGAATGGGTTCTTCAGAGAATCAACATAGAAAGTGAATGAGTTCATATTTTATTGATCTCAATAAGAGTTCATGGTGGTCTTCCTGAAGTTTATCCAATATTTCTTTAAAATAAGAATTAACCACTGAAGTAATGAGAGCTTTTGGGACTAGATGTCATTTCTCTGGTTATGGTGTGTTTAGCTTTCATTGTTCAGAGAAGAATTGGAAGAATTCAAGATGTTGATCAATTGTCATGATGTATCAAGCATTTCTGTACTTTGTGAGTGTTGCTGTTCATTCATTAGATATTGCTGATCATTTGATTATTGCATCCAACTCATCCATCATAAGTATGTCATTAGTGTTTATTGCTGAAAAGTCTGTGGGAAGATAAAAGACAGGGAACTGTCTGTTTTGTAAATAAAGCACTTGCTCATCTTGAGAGCATTGAGATACTAGTTCTTGTTCCCAGATGGGGAGATTGATAAAATCAGAAAGCTCATTATCACTGATTTTCTTTGATGATGATTGAGGCATTAATTCATTGCATTTTGATATCTCTATGACTAATCTTGTTTCTGTATTTGAAGCCAACATTGCTGTGTCATTTGGTTCAGGTGAGAGATGGCTTCTAGGTGTTCCCCAATCAAGTGAACTGTTAGTGTGATAGTCAGAGAATGTAGGAGAAACAATGTTGTCATCAGTGAAGAATTCATTAGTATTGAATTCAGAGATGTCATTCAGTTGATTGATCTTTTCAGTAGACTTGAGTAGTCATTTACTCTTTTGAATTGCTTTCTGTTTAACTGGTGTCTTTTTCTTGTGTGGAGTAGCTTTATTGTTCAGAGCTTTTTGTTTATTGAGCTTTTGTTTTGATGTGGGTGTTGTGGAATTGTCATTGGTTTGGACAGTTCATGGGCTTGTTGATAAGTCATCATCAATCAATGCAAGAACATTATCTTCAGATTCAGAGAGGTCAAAGATATCATCTGAAGCTTTCATGTTGTATTTTTTTGTCTGGATTTCTTGTCTTTCTGAACAGTCAATGTACTCAATTGGCAATTTCTTTTGGGAGTTTTCTTCAGAGAGATTCTCTAGATGGTTAATTGCTTCATTAATTATCATGTCTGTTGTTTCTGAAGTCCAAATGATGATGTTGTGATTTTTGAATCATTCTCTTCAAAGAAATTTCTGCTCTCATATGATCTGACTCTCTCTTCACTGAATCATTTCTTCTTCACATTTTCTGTTGATTTCAGCTCTGATTAAT